CAATAGTCAAGAAGTGGCCGCAGAACAAGAGACTTAGCCCCACCCCACTAGCAATAAGAAAAAATTTAGATATGAGGTTTTCACGGCGGTGACTATGAAGAATGCCGTCTTCAGGGATGTGGAGTCGTGTAGATCCGGTGCGAGTCGACGTTTCGGAGGAAAGTATCGCCGCCATCTACAGGATAGATTTTTGTAGAGTCTCGAGTTGTTGAAAGTGCTCCCATATAGAGGTTTGAGTCCCAATGAAGTGAATTTTTTCAATTGACCTAATCCTTTCAGCCACACCGCGACCCTGGTTTCGACTCAGCCTCTTACAGAAATGAGTACCAAGAATCTCCCTGGGGGATAAAGGGCGGCCGGCGCATAAGGCTGACAACCTTACCGTCATCTGTGAGCCGACTGTGTAGAAACTGTGGGAACCTCAACGTCTCACAAACCTATGGGCCTTCACGGCCTGGTACAGAAATAGCTTTACACTTTACTTTTTTTTTTATAATTTCTATACCGTCTGGATACTCTGCCACGAGAAACCATATACACAATCAGGGCTAACGTAATCCGGTACGCGTAATGGTTTCGTTTATCCTCGGTCCTCTTTAATAATATCCTCTGTCGTATACAAGCTCCGAATTTCATGCAGGTCACCCATAAGGCCTGAACCAGGTCACTATTACAGGAAATATAACCAGTGATCACAATTTGAACCATTGTAACTTCCACATTCGAATTCCGTGTTTACTAATTATCCTATTTGATAATTTTCCCTACTCTCGCTCTCTGTGTAGGTCCAACTGAGTTTGAGGCGGAAACTGGAAAGTCTAATACGTACTAGCCAAATTCGACATAGCTGTTCAATACAGTAGGTAACGCATATAGAAGAACAAGGTTTACAACGTGGTAGTCTTACAGGCTGTGAAACCATGTAGACTGGTAAATGGATGCAACACGTTTCATAACGATATTCTGCCTTCATATTCTGCGCAAAGATCACAATATGAAATTAAAATATTACGTTCTTGGATCAATAACTTGATTGATTCTGGTCAGTTATAATCGTGTTTCACTATGGTGTGTAACACACGAACCTACTGACTTCTGGACTTCGTCCGTCGTCCACTATTCTAAAGAACACAACGTTTCATAAATTAAATTTGTTTATGTGTTCAGGAGAAAGGCTGTGAGACACGTGCTCTGTGGAGGTTCGTTAGGAAGAGCTGCCTTCAATCACTGGTCATAGTTGATGATTGATAAATTCCAAAAACTCAGTGTTTCTGCATTTTGTCGAAATAGGAAAGATTTTCCAGAACCATTAGGAGCCTATTATTGTACCTAGAGTGTTTATAAAAAGGTAATAAATTGACTGTTATTAACTGCATACAGTATTCTATCAACCATTCATCTCCCACTGTTAACTTCATTATTGGGGATTACTGCCGCGGACTTAATGTAATATACCAACCACTGTTTCAGACGATTTGCACTGCCATCTTTTTCCATCAGTTCCTCGTATACCCTTCTACGGGTGTCGAGGCTTTCGTTTGTTCTTTTCATCATTTCACAGGCTGTAGGACTCTTTGGACGGGTGATTGTCCCGTCGTAAGGCCACTATCCAAACACAGGACAGCACGAACACAGAAAAACGCATACACACACATACCAAACTTCCTTGAATTGTGTGGGATTCGAACCCACGATCCCGGCTTCCAAGCGAGCGAAGACAGTGCATGCCTTAGACCGCTCGGCTACCGTGACCGGCAGTGTATAAGAATAATATATAAGAATTCAGTTCGTACCTCACAGGAAACAGATCCGAACCCACGATCCCGGCTTCTGAGCGATCGAAGACAATACATGCCTTAGACCGTTCAGCTACCGTGACCGGCTGCACTGCAAATGCTGGAGCAAAATAGAAGGGACTACATTAAGGATATACATCAGCCATTTATCGACTTCAGGAAAGCGTACACCTCAAATTCAGCAGAAGTATTATACAAAACTCGCACCCTACTGTCTATACACGAAACTATTTTTTCAAACAACGCTTCGTACAGTAAACTCGGACTTTATTTTGCAATTCTGCCGGCAACCCAGGCTCTGCAGCGTCGAATTACTGGATAATAGTGAATAGTGAGTGGGGAATCGTGTAGAATGAAAACGTCGTAACCTGATTTCAAACAGCGTTTGTCTGGAGGGACTGACGAAAACCAAGAAAACCTTAGACAAAGTAATCGGTGTCCTAGCTAAAATTCGACACTTTCCGAACAAAATTCAGAAGGTCACCCTTGAACCAAACTGTTAGGCATTAAAGATTATCACATAAACCTAATATGATGCAAGTGGAAAGCGACGGCCTCGATATATTATTCAAGCGTTTACATCGGGATAATAAAAATGCCACTAGAGTCCTAGTTCAGTATCGTCGGTAATGTGGCAGGGATTTAAACATGGTTCAGAATAGAATCCTTGACGTCATTGGTGATTCTACAAGACTCTAAAAACGGTTTATAAAACAAAACCATTAGAATAGTGAAGCTCTGGAAAGCAAGACTGTAAACATTTCATTTCATTTCATTTCATTATGTAGGATTTGAGGATTCCACATCGGTGGACATGAAGAGTTCTGTCTTCTGGGATAAAAAGCCGTGTAGACTGTTGAGAATCTACCCATGGTTCGGAAAGTACAGCTATGATTACTACCTGCTTCACACTAACTTCTAGCGTGTCTTATTCTTCGACGCTGAAGATGGAGACGAAACGTCTGTTAGCTTTCAAAGGACTAAATGATCTTATGTCCCAGAAGATAAAATGTTTCATTTCCTTCTATTCAGCGAGAATATTCCCTCTTTATTTCATATTGTCACGTGTCACACAGTGACTAAGATGCGGGTTTGGTTTTATTAACAAACTACGCCGTAACTACAATTAATTACTTCATTATTGCTACTTTACACAACTTACGATCACTGCGCACTAATATATTCAGTCTATGTCCACTAGTTTTCACAGATTTATAACGCAGGAGACAAAAGTCTCCCTAAATCACACACTCCCAAAATCACTGCACTACAGCACACGTGAAGTCTTCACAGACCGACTTCTTGCTCTCTTCTGTACTCCTAATTCCAACCCGCTCTCTCCTCGCTTGCTCCTACCACTATTATTCACTCTAATTGCCCTGAACTAACTTTGCATCTGAATTCACTTCTCTTATAAGCACTCTACACAGACCACGCACAGAAAACACACTTCTATTGTTGCACTAGGCGGACCACGCAGAGAACAATTCACGTGATTCATAGCCGACTTCATCACTGGTAGGCTTTTGCCTAGCAAAGAGCAATAACATTCGTCCACTGAGACACATCTTCCACTGTTGCAAGTTTACCGTGTTTACAGAGGTGTTGCTTGGCAACGCGTTGTTCAAATTCGTTACAATATTGTTGTTTTTTTGCGTCCTGCTGCACTGATTCTCGTCTATGATATGTATATTGGCCGTTTTGTAGTGCACTCAGTTTCACATGCCACTTCACTACATGTTTCGGCATCATTGTACCATCTTCAGGTGTATTATTTACGTCAAGCTATTACAACGCTCGCAGCCAAAAAAGGACACATCACTAGACACAGTACACACAAAATATAGGATGAACGACTCCAAAAGTGGAAGACTGACGTAGTACGA